AAATTTAACAAAATCTAAGAAAAGAACTTCCTTTATTATATGTAAACTAGAAACTAGAACCATTTTGAGTCAAATGAACACTTTATACAGGTTTTGTGGTTTTTGTTTGTTTGTACATAGCATATAATGAAACCTTGAGTTAATTGTTTAGAATACAATATGTTTGAGAAGAGTATTCACATACTTTCTTAAAACTAAAGTGAAGGAAGATAATCTGTTTTTTAATTGATACATAATATTTATATATATTTATGGAGTACATGTGCTATTTTGTTACATGCATAGAATGTATAATGATGATAATCTGTTTTTTAAGCAGAAATTTGATTGGTGCGTAGTTTCAAAGTCCAGGAAATGTTAAGACTACTTGGAGGACATCTACAATTATTTTAGACTATTAAGAAACACATATTAAAGCAGTTCTTCAGAAAATCATGAAATATTCTTCCTCCAGTGACCCAACATTACTTCCAAACAGCAATTACTTCTCAATTGACAATATTTGATTCATTGCACATAGATTTTCAAATTTATAGAAGTGCTAGAAAATATAGTCGGCTGGAGCAAAGTTTACTGTTTCTTTTCCTTTAAAAGCAGCTTTAAAAAATTAAATAAATAAATGAAAGGAATGTAGTCCTGGCATTCTTTTAGATTGGGAGATGTAGTTAAGATGTTGAGTTTCTGCCCTTAAGTTCTTGAAAAGTTGTCTGGTTAAATTTGGTTGAATTGGATGAGACTGAAAACTTTAATTGTTCTTATTTAGCATGGAAACCAGTTCTATTGCTAGGAGGGAAATTGAATATCCAAATCTTTCCAGTTGTGTCCAGTTCAACAACACATATATGAAAGACAGCATCTTACAGAAAACATTTTCAAACAAAACAGAACAAAACACTTAAGTTATTTATATATTTTTCTATTTGAAAGTGACTATGATGACGATGAAAACATAAACATCTCATTTTAGCTCATTAGTATACGACTGACATACGTGAAGACCACAGACTCAGAGCAGTGGGGTTATCCTGCTTAGCTACATAGAAGGACAACTTAGCAAAGCAGAATTTTATTCAACTTTAAGTCATGGGAAAATAGCATTTGTAAAACCGTAAAAATGATTTTTTAAACAACTGAAGTTCCCAGAGACAAACTCCTGGAAAGTAGAGAAAGAACTCAGTCTCACATTACAAGCCTGGGATTTTGGTGGGGTACACATAAGTACTCTGGAATGCAAGCGAGAGTCTTGCTGCCAAATGAAAAGAACTCCAGAGATAGGAGAATGTGTACATTCTTACAATTCTCCAAACTCTCTTGGTTGTAAAATAACTTCTACCTATGGTTGATTTTAGATTGCCTTTTTAAATTAAATTTTTTAAGTAATATAAATGTGAGACAATTGTTGAGATTTTACAATAAAGACCAAAAGCATATAAAATTAAAATACATGTGACTTTTAAACAAACATATGTTAAATACGGATACAATACCTTATTTAATTTAGACAAATTCACGAGTTCCTCAAGCAGAGTAATCAGTTGTAGAAAATAGTGGTGTATGTGACCAAATAACCACACCAAAATATGTAAAACAACAATCATTAAAATTAATTGATTGTGTTTTGAGGCATTTGACTACCATGTTTTCATGATGAGAAGACACATGCCTTCACATTTTGTTTTTCTGAGACAGAGTCTCGCTCTGTTGCCCCAGCTAGAGTGCAGTGGCGTCACCGTAGCTCACTGCAACCTCTAGTTCCTGGGCTTAAGAGATCCTCCTCCCTCAGCCTCCTGAGTAGCTGGGACTACAGGCAGGCACCACTGCACCAGGCTATTTTTTTCTATATTTAGTACAGACTGGGTCTCGCTCTTGCTCTTGCTGGTCTTGAACTCCTGAGCTCAAGAGATCCTCCCATCTCCACCTCCTAGGGTGCTAGGATTACAGGCGTGAGCCACCGCGCCCGGCTGCCTTCACACTTTGAAGCTTATGAAATCAGTCTTCATCTTATAATAGACATATTTAATGAGTATATTTAATGAGACTTCTCTTCCCCAAATCTGTTAAATCAGTGTTGCATCTTATAATGGCTATATCTTAGAATTGAAAAATACAATGACATTAATTTTTAACATAATTTGTTACAAAGAAGCAATGTAATTAGAATACATAGATAAAGCATGAAGACATTTTAGTAGATGGTTGATTGTCTGACACCTAAAGGTAAATTGCACAAAAATATTTTAGCATACTAGTAAAAAGCACCAGGATAAGTTATTGCAGATATAAAGGAACCTAAATGAAAAAAGAATTTTAAGTCATACTTTTAATTTAAAAAAAATCACATCATTTAGGAGAAAATAGGTTGGAACTTCTGCTGGTCCACTTCCTCATCTGCCAACCACATTCATGTCAAAAAAAGAGACTTCATCTCAGGTTATGTGAGGTATTTAATACACACAGGGTTCATTCATGATAGTTTATGTGGTAATGTTAAGGCCTGGGAAAAGAAAATAAGTTTTTATTTCCTTTGCAGTGATCAACCAAGAGCAGTTATTTTTCTGGAAGAAACACAAAAAGAGGTAGTAACTGTCTTAAATGAGCTTACCAAAAAATATACAGACTCTAAGCTAATAAGATGTGAAAATAAAATATCAGAACTTAAGTACTGAAATAAGTACTGATGTTCAAAGTGGTCTCTGATTCTAATGCTGCCGCCACATTTGGGACCAGCCACAGAAGCAGTTTTGGAACTTCCCGAGGGAAGTTGTTAAGGCACAGAAGAAACCTGTCGTCGTTACCCTATGTTCACACATAGGATGTTGGACGTTAGCTGACAGAAATAAAGATATGATCCCACTTGATCACCCACGTTATTCGCTACACTTGGCCCTTCGTGACTCTTGTCTGCTTCCAAAGCTGAAATCCATCTTCCTTTGTTGATGGTTGTTCTTCCTCCTAAAGTTGGCTCCAGGAGAGCAGGACCTGGTGCCCAGACATGTGCCTGGCACATAGCCGGCACTCAGTACATACTTACTGAATCAATGAATGCTACAATAAAAGGCAGGTCTTTGGCCCCACTGAGGATATAGAAAAGATTCTTTGCTTAGCATCCCATTGACGTGTCACCTGTAATTATTCTGGAAGAATTCTAAGTCACAGCAGCATTATTTTTCTAAGGGCATTGCCTCCCAGTATAATCACTCTGAAAGGGATTTGCACATCTAATTTCTGGTATTGCTGTTTGGTTAAACACATTTTTTAATTGTCATCTCTATTGCTTCAATTCCAGGTCCCAGGACAAAGTGGTCAGTATTAGGGAACAGGATGGCTGGATGGAAAACACATCCAGAGGCAAACAAGCAATAATAAAACCCCTTCCTGGAAAATCAGCTGTTTTCCAGACAGAGACTTAGTAAACCTGAAAAAGTTGGCAAATCTAACCACAAACACTACTTCTGAGATTAACACCAGAACCAAACAACTCTCTGTGGCTACAAAAAAAAAAAAAAAAAATTGAGAATGTTTCTGAACTGTCGCAGAACAATTTAATCAATCTGGGAAACATTTTAAGGCTGCATTGCTATGAATAGAATTTTACATAGTGACAGCCTTGGAGCTATTAACTGAATTTTGTCAACTAATTAGATAGAGGACTAGTTAAAGTGCTGAAACTGTACCAATATCCAGGCGTGACCATTTTCAATGGCTTTAGGGGAGTTGGTCACAGGGTGGAAATCACCCATCTGTTCTGCACCAGTGCCTCATCTTGAACCCTCATTGACCAAAAATGTGCATAGGATGTTCATCCTCCTACCCAGCAAACATGGTGAGTGGAAACAGCAATCTATCCAGATTACCATTGTATGGTCAGCAGCTAAGCCAGCATGGATGTCCAACTGTTCATTCATTCTACGAGTATTTATTAGACAATTGCCATGTGCAGCTCTCTGCCAGGTGCCGGAGGGAATGAGATGGCGGGACCAAAAAGGTGTTAAGACATGGTGCCTGACCGTCAAAAAGCTCACAACCTGTTAGGGAAAGGAATCGACCATTAATAGGTGATTAAGTGGAGACAGAGGCAACAGGTCCAAGGGAAATCAGGAGGAAGAAGGGGAGGGTAAAAGTTAGCCAGATGGCCAGGGGAAAGCTGTGCAAAGGAGTGAAACCTGAGTTTGATGATTAAAAAAAATATATGGACTGAGAGTCTGAGGAGGGAGGGAGGGCAGGGAAGGACATTCTAGTTAATGCTGGAGGAAAGTAGAAGTGAATCCTGTTTATGCCCATGCAAGGCTTCTTTTTCAACCAAGGATATATTAATACATGCAGCAATAATTATTGCATCTACTGCTCAAGTATTTTCTTTGAAATGTCTCTGTCCTAGAAGAAAATGGGTAATAGTTGAAGAGAATTGTATATTTTGAAAAGATTTCCATTCACTTACCTTCTTTATTTAGGGATGTCACTTTCTATCCTAAATTGATTTGCTTCCTAGGCATGTAGGGCATATATATATATATATATATATTTACCATGTACAGCAGTTTATGGACCTAGGCATGTAACTGAATGAGGCCACGGTCTTGCAAATGTCAGAAAAATGCTACCAATTTCAGGATGCCCTAGTCACCTGGCCTTGCTCTTTCATCATACTGTGTTCTCCATAAAGAAAAGAGTTTTTGTTGGTTGGTTGGTTGTTTGGTTGACTTTAACCTATGGAGAGGCATTTTCCCATTTAAGCATACAAATATAATATGGTGACTTTTCAGATTAAAGGTCAGGCACAGGCTTTGTTTAAACTTTGACAGCCTGCCCTCTAGGATTATATCATTTGCTGTGTTGGTCCAAGTACCTTTCCAAATTTGGAAACAGAGGTGTATGCCATCGGCCTTGTAGAGAATAATGTTACAATAACTTCAGCCAGGATGTCCAAACCTCCTTGAACCCATCTCATGGAAGGAGTTCTAGGAGTTTGCACTGTCTGCATTCCACAAGCAAATAACCTTCAAACTGTGGCCCACGTGGCCAGGATTAGTATTCATGTTACTATCCACGGGAGCCACTGAAGGTCAAGGACAAAGTCAGTGCTCTAACATTATGTGTTCATTCATGAGAGCACAAGTTCAAGTTAGCTAAAGAAAAGTAATCCAATGTACTGAAAGAAAGAAAAAAAGTATTTTACTAATGTATAGGAAACAAGAATATCATGGAGGTTAGGTAATGAAATATGACATACCAAGAACAAGAGATACTTAACATGATGTTGAGTGGTGTCCAGGAAAAAGAGAAACTTCTGGTTACAATCAGGAAATAATTAGTTATTCCAAAATTTAAACTATGTTATTCATTACACAAATAAAAGGCTAACTTATAAAAATGATGATACAAACATATAAAGCAATATTGTCAGATCCACCTTCATGAAAACTTTCATCTATGGGAGACTATTGCTCCTTAGTTTAAGATAGATGGTCGGTAATGAAAATGATTTCCTCCATGGTAAGACAAAGGAATTAGCATTTCACGGAGTAACAGAAGTACATAATAAAGATTATTCATTTTCTAAAACTGGACAATCTCTATATAAAATAAAAACAGAATAATATTATAGGAATAAATGAGTTTCCACATTAAGAAGCAGCAACGTGATGTTTGCTCAAGATTTATTGTCAGTCTATATAAGTCATTATATAAATCTGCATCAATACATAGTGTCACAAAATGAGACGCTAGCCTTCAAAATTACTAGTGAAACCTGGAACACATCATACAGTAACACGAAAACATTCATAAAAACCTGAGTAATTTGGATAATTTTCCCAATTGGTGTAGGTCCCACGAAGACCAAAGAAACACCTCTTTTCCTTAGCATGCACTTGGAAAATACCAATTAATTTGCTGGCATCTTAACAAGTGCTTGTGATATTTTTATCACTGTAGTTTTTCTGTTAGAAATGTGTGTAATGAAAACTTAGCAAAGCACCACTTGTCATTATCCTGCTTGGGTCTTGCAGCTAAGATGCAAAGAACCCCAAACCACACTGATGATAGATAATGCAGAGCAATTCTATGGGGCCACCATGGCAATCATTACTGACCTCTTCTTGCTTCTGATTTTGTTGAATTCAGACTCACTCTCCCTTCCTCCAACTCACCTTTTGCTGGTGTAGTTTTGGCCTCCTTCTCTTTATTTGGTTCTGTGTGGAAAGTATAAGCACATTTTTTAAAGTGTCTTAAAGCATTTTATTGTGTGATGAGCAATGGGGTGGAGGGGGGAGGGAGGTAAAAAAACAACAGAACAGATCATAAATGATATCACATACTCATTATGCTGCACATGAATTATGAACTTGGGAATTATAATTTAGAGTCACATTAAACTTTTAATAAAAGCAATAAATAAATATGATCATTTTTAGAAAAAATATGCATCAAAACACTCAATACAGATTTTGTTAAGATACACTCAGCTGTGCTGGGATCATGCTAGATAACATGCTGGCATAGAATTGAGTATAAAATATGGGTCACTTTATTTTAGACCCCAACAAGAGACTTTTTAAACAAGTTTGACCTGTGTAGTAGTCTCAATAGTTTGCATTTTTAGATATTATACTAAGACATAGAATATGTAATTGTGTGTGTGTAGCTTCAAAGAAAATGTTTTGGTGTACATGTGAATCTTCCAAATTGGGTTTAGTGGCAATAAATGCAAAACGAGAGCAGTGACATCAGATTCTATCAATCGAGACCATCTAGTTTGCTTTTCTCTGTGTTCAGAGTCACATTAGTTTAGATACCTGCAAATAGTATCTGACTGTGGTATAGGTAAGAAAAGAATTGTTTCAAGGAAGAATTTTTTTTGACCAATGAACAGAGATTCAAATCTTAGTTAACTAAGGACAATTTTAGCAGAGTTTGGGAGTAGACATTTTAGCAATAGGAGGTCAATATTGTACAATGAATATAAAACATGGCCTAAAAAGGGAAACTTTATAGTGGCTCAGTGGCAGTAACTTATCTGAAGAACACAAGGGAAAGGTTTGTCTGTAATGGTTGGTAGGTTCTCAGTGTACCCAATGCTGATCAAAATAAATCTGTACGTGAAAGAGGAAACATACCTAGGAAGAAGAAGATCCTAAGAAGAATGTCGCACATCTACACTGGTTTCAAGATCAAGATCTAAAGAAAACTAAATCTGAGTGTGCCCTTGTTTGAGCTCATATGGCACTGAGCTTGTTTCTCTCATTTTTTTTTCCAGAGACGGGGTCTGGCTCTGTTGCCCAGACTGGAGTGCAATGGTGCCATCACAGCTCACTGCAGCCTCAAACTTCTGGGCTCAAGCGATCTTCCCACTTCGGCCTCCCAAAGCACTGGGATTACAAGCGTAAACCACAGCACCCCACCTGATTTTTTCATTTTGATATATAGCAATACTCTTCTGTACTATTTAGTGGTTTGAGTGTGTGGATCTAGTATTCTTGGCTGGAAAAAAGGGCAGTTAGGTTTCTTAAAATGCCCTGCTGAAAAATGATTTCCTGGGTGGAAGAGCTTTATAATTTCCTTAGAAATTTCCATGTGAAAAGATGATCAGAAACTAAGGCCTTACTCAACTCCTGCTTTCACCTAGGCTGGACGGGTCTGTGGTGACCTCCTACTCTCTGGTTTCATACCACATTGGCAATTCAAGTAACCCGCATTTAAACACATAGTACTACGTTGGGAGGTTTCTTATAGTATTGCCTAATGTTTTCATGCAGTGGTTGGATTAGTTTAATTGAATTGCTCTTTAGGCTGTATTTTATATTCTACTTGGCTGCAAACAAACTGAACATAGGGAAATGTTCTCTGTTTAGAGTTTGCCACTGCATCTGGTACAATGTGTTTGCACCTTGCTATCCGTAAGTATGTAGTAGCTAGCTCTGTGTCTTCTGAAGGGTTAGAGCAGAGTCGTACATGCACTAAATACCCAGGGAATAATTCTAGAATGGATGTCAGTTTCTCATCACTCTTCCTCCTTGAAATGGTGCTTTGGGGTCTTTATGAGAAAATGCACGTGATTTTGGTTGCTTCCATCTTGGGGGCTATATGGTGGGGAGGACAAATGATTGTGGAGGGCCATGCTGGGAGTTCAACAGTCCCCTTGGGCTTGTTATTCTCCCAATCCTGTTCTCTTCCTTAGGTCTACAGGCTTTACGTGTCCTGTGTTGCTGGGGACTGTGCCTACCTGCCGAGGATTTCACTGCATCTCTTTACTCATTTTTGTATTGCCAGTTGGTGGACAACATGGTACTAAAACCCAAGAAGCTCGTCCTGATATTAGCCTCAGAGGCCACCAAACTCCCTGGGGAGTTTCTGGAGATGCTCAATAGTGACATAGTTCAAAGTGGGAAGGGGCTGCTGATCTTCTAGGGTGGAGGTGGGATCCACTCCCCCCTCTCACAAGGGCCTTCCCTGCAAATCCTTGAGCCCCCTGGAGGCTCAGCCTCTGCACTGTAAAACATGGCATAGCAACAACTGTTGCACAACCTGGAAGGTTTTGTAAGAATCCTTTCCCATAATGTATATGCAATGCCATCAAAATTAAATTAACATGAGAGGATTATATAAATACAATGTATTGTTTTTATTATCAACTTATCACAACGGTCACCATCCAACTTCTCAGCAGTAGAAGTTAGGTTAAAGCTCACGGCATCAGTGGAGGTCAAGTCATGCTGGGGTGGTGGCTCTGTATTTGCAGCCCAAACACGTGAGGCAGTGTTTCTACTCACCTTCCGGGGGTGGGGGTGGGGCTGGGGCTGGGACTTCATTTTCTAGAAATGGAAAGAGTAATGGAAGCATTAGGGTCACATGCTGCGGAGAAGAGCTGCTTTCCACAGCACCGGGCTGCTCTCCACCGCAGGCAGCCGTCTTACCTGTGTGTGCTCTCAGGGGACACTGGAGCAGGAAAAGGATCATCCCATGGCGTCAAGAGACCCAAGAGACACTGCTGTTTGTACATGGTCCCATACAAAAGTGAGACACTGGGTGGCAAGCACACCCCGTAGAGACTAAGGTGGGTGAATTTGGTGCAGAAATGAGACCCTTTTCCCCAGAGAGCAAGGACACCTCAGTGTCTCTGACACTGTCCTGCCCTCACAAGAGACACTTCTGAATGACGATAACCTCAAAATCCTCTGGCTCTGCAACATTTCACTGGATTATAAGGCAAGCTGCTGTTCACTGGGAAACAGAATTAACCCCTCGCACAGATCTTTCTGGAAGTGCGCGTGCCTGGAGTAGATCTTCACCTAACTTATCCAAAATTTTCAAAGCTCTGGTTTTGAGATTTTATACCAGATTTTGGATGTCCAGTTATTACAGAGAAGTCTGGCTATGAAGTCTGTTTTTAAAAAAAAAAAAAAAAAACTTCTATTAAAGAATATACTATTTCCAAGTAGCTAAAAGCATACCTGTGACCAAAGAGCACAGAATTTTCCCTGGTGAATCCTTGTGGACGCCCCAAACTGGGAATTAGTGACATGTGAGTGAACCAGCTGCTTCATCTCCAAGGTGGGAAGAGGCAGTTAAGGAAGGTGATCTCCTTTAAAATTATTTTGCACTTGATTGTTAAATAAAATATAAAGACAGAACAGCTTTTGTATTATAGACACATCGTGGGATCCAAAGACTCTTATCTTTGTTAGTGTCCGGGATTTTCCACATTTTTTCCACAAGTGACTCTTTCTTAGCAGGGAGAACAATGCCTCACAACAAGCAGCGTGGCAGAACAGTCACCCTTATGTGTAGGCTAAGTGCCCTAGTTTATTCTAGGCAGGCTGGAATAAGCATAGGAAGATGAATGAATTGTACCATAGCAGAAATTAAGAAAAATGTGATGCAGGCCTGCCAGGATGCAACAATGTCTTTCTCTACCACTAATTTTTTTTTTGTGCTGGTATAGATTCTGATTTATTTACTTTTTAAAATTATTTTCATTCACATGACCATAAATAAATATATTACTATTTACCAATGAGGGAGAAAAAATATATAATCAAAGGAGAGAAAACATACCACCTCACAGGCTAGCAGAAGATAGCATGGCAGGATGTGATGTAATTTGCAGACAAGGTGAAAACACAAGTGTCCCGTAGATGGCATTGTCAGAAATGCTTTCGTTTCTTCATCACATCATGGAAAAAATCATTAGCACCGTTGTCAATCAGAAGACAAAATGCTCAGCCGAAGCATTTTATTTTCAGAGATCTGAGTGCAGAAATGAAAATCTAGTACTGACCTTTTGGCTTTGAACAAGTTATTGCAGCACCCGGGTATCAGAATACCGGGAGTGAGAAGCCAATTTCTTTGACACACTATCTTTTGGACTGAGCCATTGTCGTGCAAGGCCTGAGGACATCTCCCTGGCTCTCTGTACGGACAAGTTTCTCTGCCCTCCAGCCTCTTTTCCCCACAGCTGCAGAAGTTATTTATCCTACAACTGTGTTTCATGCTGTCATTCTACCTGAGCAGGTCTCTGGTACCTATCTGGTTAGGTCTACACTCCCGAGGTTAGCATTCAAAGCCACTGTCAGTGGGCACGTCCTTTCTCTCCTTTCTCTTATTACACTCCTGTGGTCCCTCTGTTCTAGAGATGCTTTCTCTGTTCACCTCTGACCTTTCTGCCACTGAGAAAAGTGGTGTCCTACTCCCCAGCAGACCTCATGCTTTTTCTCTACCTATGGAGTTACACAGACTTAGCTGTGCAGCCTGACTCCAGGCCTTATCAGTTGTGTAGTTAGTCTTGGGCAATTCCTTAATCTCTAACAGCCTCAGTTACCTCATCTGTGAAATAAGAATAATAAAATAAATGACCTCTCGGGGTGCTAATCCTTTGTAAAATGCACAGCACACACAGTTCCTGGCATGTAGAAAGAGCTCTATAATTAACAGCAGTAACGGCATTGTCACCCTTTGGCAATCTTTGGCCGTCTTTTTGCTGTTTTTCTCAAGGTGCTCAGAGCTAATTATTTCATTCTGTTCTCCTTTCTTATTCTCCTGGCATTCTGGACCTTATAATAATACAATCTTTATTCACTGCAATTTAATTATTTTCTAGTAGTCTTAGTATATTTATGTTTCTTTTTCTCCCCAACTAAACAAAGACAGGGATCTTTCATTCCTTTCCTATCTACCTGATATCTCATTTTATTGCTGAAAACACATTAAATGCACAGTGAATTGATACCAAAGAATTAAGAAGATTGTGATTAAGAATTGGTGATTGTGTACGAACTATCAAATGGACCATACTTTGTCAGCAACCATGTAACAAAGGCCCATTTTGTAAGGTAAGCCATGGTGGCTAAAAATCCGAGTAAGGCCAAGAGAGAATTCTAATCAAATAAGTAAAAGAGAATCATCTTGGGCACTGAACCTGCAAACATGCCCTGAATGTAAATTCTCTATTTCCACTATGTCTGTAGCCCCCGTGGTCTGTGTAACAGGTCTGAAATCAAACCAAATGAGAACTGAAAGGGCTTAATTCAACTTCCACCAAATCCATAGACCATTGGTCATTAATAGCCAACCGTATCAGACAGTTGGTACTACACAAACCTTACAGGCTATTCATGCTAAGACCTTTGTAGGATGGTTGCAGGAAGTGGAAATAGGAAAATGTATGCCTACCTGGTAAGTGGGCAGAACCAGAACTTTTCCTTCTTAAAATCACAGAAACCCCATTACATTATAGCCAGTGAAGGAATAAATAAACAGCAACCACTTGTTGGCACCCACTACAAGGAGGACTTAGTATACATTAATTCTCATAATCCTTAGAACTCTATGGACTTGGTACTGCAATTATCCTCCTTTTGAAGATATGAATGGAGGCCCCTGTGAGGTTCCACAGCTCACGAAGGGTGGAGCCAGGCTCTGCCCGAGCCTCCCGGAGTCATAGCCAGGGCTCTGCGGCATGGGCCTGCACGTCCCTTCTCAGAGTCTCACATTCACTGACTGTGACAGAAGAAGTGAGCTGATGAATGTCTCAGAGTGATTATTAATTTTCCCTGCTGAGTGGATTGGTCTTATTGTCAAGGCCACATAGCCTCAGATGGATGCTGCCCTATCTGTAGGAGTGGAATGTACCTCAATTTCCTCATCTATGAAATGGAAATAACAGCATAGCCTATCTCAAGGGTCATTGGCAGGAATGGATGAGTTAACGGGCGGGGAACATGCTTTATCTCTTCATGATTATTATCATCATTATCCTATTTGTATTATGATGTCTGTGAAAAAGATACTCACGTCTTTCTGCACATGCCACCTGCTAAGGATTTGTCTTACTTCCAGATCTGTGGGCTGCACTGTGTTAGAACACGTTTAGAATCGGGGTAGGGGCTGAGGGATTGGACCCCTGAGGAGGTGAGCTCCTCACACCTCTACTGTAAAGTGAGAACAGTCATTGAGTTTGATGAAATTTATATACATTGTAGTTTGTACAAGCGAGATAAGTAGATCAATCAATCAATCAGTCAGGGTGGGACAGAAAGGATAAGAGAAAATGAACGCTCAGTCATTTTCAGAACATTCGAAACAAAGAATTCCAGCTGTCCTAAAACTGGAGAGATGGGAAACCAGGAGCGGTGAAGGCCAAGCTGCACATGACCTAGATGGAAAATGAACCATTATAGGTGAGTCTCAGGGCCCCAAGGAATCTCTTATCCCCTTGAAGGAACTGCTGAGGCATTGCTCTCACTCTGACTCTTAACTTTGACTCTGACAGTTTCCGTCATGCCCAGCTTTGCCCACTCTTCTAAATATCATTTGCATGTTCCCCAAATTCATTGGCTGCCTCTATGAGAGTCATTCATTACCAGCAATTTGCACAACACCTCACTGAACAGGGGCCATATTCGGGAGTATTCATGTAACTGGAATTCATGGAGCTCCCATTATGAATTAATTTAACAGGGCAAGGGCGTTACAAAAGTGGCTGAGATGAGATAAGATCCCTGTGTTTAAGAAACCTACAGGTAGATGAGCTGCCCTTTAGTATCAATTTAGCCACCGAGCCAGGTCACTCTGCTCTCTTAAAATATTCAAGACTCACTACTTCCATGGATCTTGTTGTATACATACGAATCACTTAGGGATCTGAGCAAACTGCAAATGCTGACGATGGGGGCTGCAGCAGCGGGGTTCAAGATTCTGCATTTCTAAAAGGCTCCCAGGTGTTGCTGACACTGTGGGTCTACACCCCACACTTCGAGTAACAAGGCTTGGCCCACTGCCTGAATATCGCCAGTTCCCCCGCACCCCCCTTTCCAATGTGGATGGGAAGCTACAAGGTTTACAGTAGGTGGGCACTTTCCTTATCCCTTTAATCACAAGCTTCTTGAGGACAAGGCCCTTCTCCTCCTCCTTTTCAAATTACATGTAGCAGGTGCTCCATAAATATAGTTGCCTGGCAGGCTGTTCCTACCACACAAAAGCCCCTTCTCCTTGCTGCCAAGGAATCCAGAACTGTCCTCCCCTGGCACTCCATGGGCAGCTTTCTTCGTCTGCGTTACCCACAGGGAACACTATGTCTTGCATTGGTTTCCCTCCCGCTGGCGGAAGGCTCTGGAGGCATTCGCCCAAACCCCATCATTTAGATTTCTTCTTACTGTCAACACACATCTTGCATTTCTTAACAAGGGCAGGAGAGCAATTAGGGCTAGCGTTTTGGCTCTCAGGAATATTACACCCCTCGCCTTTCTAAGGAAGCCCCTCCTTTTAAAATCTGGGCTAGAAAAGCAGCAAAGCTACTTGAGTCAAGGAACCTGTCCCACCAGTTTCTCAGCAAGTAACCCTCAGTCAACGGTGCCAACTATTGTCAACTAGCTTAGCTGTGTCTTAATGGTCAGGAGGCGTCTGCCTTCCCGTAAACTCTGTAACTCTTAAACAAGCAAATGGTTATTTATTGAGGTGAG